TCCAGTAATGGACCAAGTCTCCAACCTCCTGGTCCAGACGAACCTGAACCACTGTGCCGCGGCGCAGGATCTCTTCCTGCAAACCATGGCACAGTGGTCGATAGGTGTTGCCGTAGTCGCGGAGCCCTATTCTGTCCCTCCCCGTCCAAACTGGATGGGTGACTGGGACGGCTCCGTGGCAGTCGTCGGTTCCACGACGGCTCATTCCCCGCCCTTGTCGCTAAGAGACAAGGGCACTGGATATGTTGCCGTCGAGTGGGGGGGGATCACCATATATGGTGTCTATTTCTCCCCCAACCGGAGTTTGAACGACTTCGAGGTTTTCCTAACCAGCTTGGAGACCTCGATACGGCGACTAGCGTCTGGGCACGTCCTTGTGCTGGGGGACTTCAACGCAAAGTCCATTGCGTGGGGTTCCCCCAGGACGGACGCCAGGGGCGAGGCCGTAGAGGAGTGGGCGGCCTCGGTGGGCCTCTGTCTTCTAAACAGAGGCTCCACCAACACGTGCGTGCGACAGCAGGGGGGGTCGATAGTGGACCTCTCGTTCGCTACCCCTGCCCTCGCCGCACGAGTAAGGAACTGGCGTGTCCTGGAAGAGGTTGAGACGCTCTCGGATCACCTGTATATCCGATTTGAGCTCTCCCGGACCCAGGACTCCAGTAGGGGTCACGTGGCGCGGCGTTTATCCCGCTTTCCGCGGTGGGCTGTTGCCAGGCTGAACCGGGACCTACTAGAGGAGGCAGCCATAATTCACTCGTGGCTGTCTCCTCAGGCTCCGACCGAGGAGGTCGACGTGGGGGCTGGCCGCTTTCGCGATGCGATTACGCATGTATGCGATGCGGCCATGCCCCGCGTTCGAGGTCGTCGGCCTCCAAGGAAGGAGGTCTACTGGTGGTCCCAGGAGCTGGCGGACCTCCGTGCGGCCTGTACACGTGCCCGGAGGTCCTACACACGCAGTCGGCGGCGTCACCGTGGAGACGGTGAGGAGGACCGGCTTCATGAGGAGTACCGACGGGCTCGGAAAACTCTGAAGCTGGCCATTAGCCGCGCCAAAGAGGAAAAGAGACAGGAGATGCTGGAGGGTCTTAATCGTGACCCCTGGGGTCGCCCTTACCGCGCGGTGCGACAAAAGCTCCGCGCGTCGGGCCCCCCCCTTACGGAGACTCTCCAGCCCAGCTTCCTGCGAGAAGTGGTTGAGGGCCTTTTCCCACAACGGGCGGAACACACTCCCCCGTCGATGGCCTCCTTGGCCGGAGACGACGGGGAGCACGGGGAGGATAATGTTCCGCCCGTCCGGGAATCGGAGGTAGGGGCGGCTGTTCTACGGATCCGTTCCAAGAACACCGCCCCTGGGCCAGACGGGGTACCGGCCCGAGTGCTGGCCCTGGCCCTCAACCACATGGCAGACCGCCTCGGGGAGGTGTTCGACGCTAGCTTGGCGTCGGGACGCTTCCCTGAGTGCTGGAAGAGCGGGAAGCTGGTCCTATTGCGGAAGCCGGGACGGCCTGCCGATTCGGTCGCGGCCTATAGGCCCATCGTGCTGCTGGACGAGGCGGGCAAATTGTTTGAGAGGGTTCTTTCTGCCCGCATCGTCCGGCACCTTTGCGAGGTGGGCCCCGATCTGTCGGACGCCCAATTTGGTTTTCGGGCGGGGCGTTCGACGGTCGACGCCGTGTTGCGCCTGAGGGCCGTGACCGAAGAGGCCGTGAGCTGTGGCGGCGTGCTGTTGGCGGTGTCATTGGACATCGCCAACGCATTCAATAGTCTGCCATTCAGCTGCATCAGGGAAGCACTCCACTATCATGGGGTGCCAAAGTACCTGAGGCGGCTGGTGGCAGACTATTTAGAGGAGCGTACCGTCGTGTACGAGGACCGAGAAGGTAATTTGAGGTGTCGGCCCATGTCGTGCGGTGTTCCACAGGGGTCTGTTCTTGGACCCCTCTTGTGGAACATAGGGTACGACTGGGCCCTTCGCGCCGATTTCCCCCCCGGGCTGGGTGTAATCTGTTACGCAGACGATACCCTCGTGACAGCCCGGGGGGCAAACTTCCAAGAGGCGGCGCGCCTGGCCACAGGGGGAGTCTCCCTGGTGGTCGGGCGCATTGAGGCGCTGGGCTTACGGGTGGCCCTAGATAAGACGGAGGCCCTGTTATTTCATGGGCCCCGTCGTGGTCCACCCCCTGGCGCCTCCATCGTGGTCAACTCGGTCCTCGTACCGGTTCGGGCCCAGATGAAATATCTGGGCCTGATCCTCGACGGGAGGTGGCTCTTCGACGAGCACTTCCGACAGCTTGCTCCAAAGCTGGTCGGCGCTGCGTCTGCCCTAGGGCGACTTTTGCCCAATATGGGTGGACCCAGCGTCGCGACAAGACGGCTGTACACGGGGGTTGTCCGGTCAATGGCGCTGTACGGTGCACCGGTGTGGGCGGCGGCTCTGACCGCCCAGAATAGGGTACGCCTCTGGCGCCCTCAGAGGGTAATGGCGGTCAGAGCCATACGCGGTTACCGCACCGTTTCGACGGAGGTGGCGTGCGCGTTGGCCGGAACTCCCCCGTGGGATTTGGAGGCGGAAGTGCTCGCCGAAGTTTATCGGCGAGTGGCTGACTCCCGGGCGGAGAGCGGATTTCGCCCTCCGCCCGAGGATGTGCGCGAGTGGCGCGAAGCCGCTCGCCGAGCCACGATGACTCGTTGGTCGTTCCGGCTGGAGACACCACGCGCTGGCTTCGCCGCCGTGGAGGCTCTCCAGCCGGTCATCGCCGAGTGGGCAGGGCGGCAGCACGGGACCCTTTCCTTCCGACTGACGCAGGTGCTTTCCGGGCGGCACGACCTCCACTCGGACCCGATCCGCCGCCGGCGAACCGGGCGGCGGAGGCCCGCCTACCACAGCCTCATGCCGCCCTGAGTGTGGCCGCGGGTGGACGGGGTGGGTTTCCCCTCCACCCGCATTAGTTTGGCCAGCCGCGAGGGGGCGGCGTCCGCGTGTGCCGGACGTCGCCTAAAGAGAGGAACATCAACAGTGAGACGGAGCCCGCACCAGGAGCGGGCTGGCGCTAGGAGGGGTCCGGATGTCTTAACAACAGCTGTTCCCGGATCCCTCCTGTTACAGGCGCAGAGTGGCACACCGTGTGGTTTTAGTCGGTCCGAGTCCGACACACCACCCCGCCGCAAACCCCGGAGGGGTGACGGTCCGAGGGGATTTCCACACGTTAAAAAAAAAAAAAAAAAAAAAGGTTTTAAATTTATTTACAATAATTTTTTCGAGTTGTGAAGGGGTCAGAAGTAGCTCGAAATGTTTGAGTAATATTACACACGGCTGCTGCGTCGCCAGTTCGTTTTTCTTTGAACTTAGCTGGACACGCTGCCCCGTATCTAGATCAACGATTAAAAACCTTGTAATTTTAATAATAATAATAAACTTTAATAATAATAAACTTTATTTATGCAAAAAAATTCATAGCTTTGGTTCGATATGAATTATTCTGTTATACGATATGTCAAAATTTGAGGAAATGTTTATCGAATTTCCGTAAGTTATGATGTTAAGTTAGAGCTATATTGCGGTTAGTTAATATAGAGTGGCTATAAGTCGGCTGTTAGTTGCATAAAGGTTTAAAAGATTCAAGATAAGTTTGTTACATTTGGGACTATAAGATCGATGAGATCTAGTTAGGTCAATCTAAAACGAAATAAGATTAGGGCCAATTTAATTCAATATAGGCTCAATTGGGGCAGTAGAAGATCGTTAAAAAAAATCTCCTGTGAGATGACTTCAGGGGTAAATAAACACGGAGCGAGAGTGCGTGGAACTCTGCCGTCTCCTTCTGCGAGCAAGTTATGCTCGCGAAGGAGACGGCGGAGCGGGACCGGGAGAGGTTTAGAACTCTCCCGGCCCGCCAGGCCCGGGCACGGGCCAGGCAGCGCAGGCGACTCAGGCGCCGGAGGTCGCAGAACGACCTCCGTCCTCCATAAGCGCAGGCCTGGGGGTCGTCTACTCGTCTGTAGATGGCCCGAGGTATGTCGGGGTACCAGGAACTTCCTTTCTAGGGTATACCTGGTTCCTCGGCTATTAGTACCCGAGACGGCGTGCGGTTTTAGTCGGTTCGAGTCCGACATGCCAGCGATAGGTGGTATCAGAGGGGATTTCCGCACGGAAAAAAAAGGGGGGACTTTACAAACATACATGAAACGGACACAAAGAACACCCAGACTCGGAACTATTGTTTTAGTAAAAACCTTAAAGCAATAATAAAGCGTGACTCACATACATGTTTCATTTTTAATGAAGTTTTTACACTGAAAACTTTAAAAATAATGTGCAAGCTTTAAAGCTATAAATTGCCATCATATTTAAGTACCTTCTTCAACATTATTTGGCTTGAATTTTTTAAAGGCCTTTACAATCCTTCGCTGTTGAGTTAAAAAGTGAAGTGGTAAAATTACAGTGAAAGTTTTTAATTGGAGCGTTGAGGTTTGTACTTTAACCTTTGAGGTTTGACCGTTGTTCAGTACTTCAACACACTCGTAAATATGACCGCTTTGCTGCCAACAACTTCAGGTCCAAACCACCTAACTAGTCAAAACTTGCCAAATTTCTCAAGGGTACAATGTGTTTGTTCTGTTAACAAACCTATTTTTCATTTTAGTTAAAGAAAGCCACAACGTTGTATGAGTTATTTAAATTTTGTTCCTTCCCACGCAAAATAGAAGACGGGTGACAAGCAATAAACCAGTCCAGTTGGTCGGAATACCAATAAATATTAGTCACTACTTACTAAGGCTGACATAACACAGAGATGCGTAAGTTGCTGTGTCGTTAACTTGATGTGCCTGTCTTGATGTGGGTATAACAAACCACTATGTCAAGTCTTCAACACTACTTGTGTGGCACGTCGCAAAAATTATTGAGTACCGTAATTAAATCAAATTTAAGAAATCATATTTGCATATTTGTTAAGATTGAAGCTATATAAAATAGTTAGTATTTATAAATATAGACAAACCTGATAACGACGTGCGAAATGGTATGGCTGGTGTCACGTCGGACAACAAAAGGCAGATGGAGACGGGAATGCGGGTACAGAGGTGCTCTAGGCAGCAAGAGCGCAGCATCTCCGGCGCGCGCTTCTCTATATCCAGCACGAGCACCGGCTAATGTCACATATCCTAGGGGCCATGCCGGTTGTACAGAGACTCGCCCGCAAGCACTCTCCCCAGTCTCACCACTGCCAGCTTCTGCTGCACTGTAAGCTAGTCTCACTGTTCTTGGCGGGCGTTTGCCCTTTCCGTCTGCAGGCCACCATGCAGCTGGGACTGTTAATTCTGCTAAGCAAGCGCCCTCTTCTCCTTCTGGACCACAAGTCGCTGTCAATGTGCGTGATCCATAACTTGCATGTAAGGTTATACATACTCGTCGAGGTCGTGTTGCTGCCCTTCTAGCGCCTCCTTCTCCGCCAGTATGAAAAAGCACACGTAGCACTGGCGCATCGCGGGGAAGTTCTCGAAAAACCAAATGCGCGGATACATCTAATCTGTGAGCTGTCGCATCTTGCAATTCTGTCAACGACGCATTTTTTCTAGGTGGTTCTAAAGGATCGGGTACAGCGTAACGCGCTGGCACTGTTTGTTTAGTAGAGAAAGGTCCATAGGTAGCACGGACTGACGCTGGTGCAGAGCCTTGTAAGACTGTGAACCGGTCCAGTGATAACAAGGCACCAGGCAAGGCTGTGCCCATCGGTTCTGGAGGTGGTCCTGCACCACTCCATCGTGCCGTATGTTTCAGAAAGAATCCACTGTCCTTATTTTCAAAATGAACTTCGACAGCGAGCACCGTCCCTGAAAAAGAAGGAAAACTATTTTTAACAAAATCAAACATTGTTCATCAATTGGGGAATGCGTAACATATGTATAATGTTAAATAATTGTTTTATTTTTAGTATTTTGACCAGAGATAAAAGGGCGTTGAAACAAAACATTGGCGCTTTGCCAAACGTATTTATGTACTGCAGCGAGACATAGTTTGCTTGAGATTTATGTTTACAAATGACAATATTCCCTAAATGCATTGCATTTTATTGGAATAATTAAAATTTTGTATATTTCAAAACCATCAAAATTGATAAAATCATGTTATTAAGGTTTTTTCTTTATTTCTGCAAAATTGTTATACGCAAGTACAGTACAGTAAAATATAAAGAAGATTAAATATAAGGAGAGTAGGGGCTTTTGTTTCTATGAAGGATGGGCCAAGATACGAGTCAAGCCGACTGCGGGTAGCCTCGTCTCGTCACTCGTCCCGTTTATTGAGCTAGGATTTGTGTCACGTTCCTCTTTCGAGACCTTTTCACGAAATTCATTACGCTGCCTATTTATGATTCGCAGCCGTTGGTCTCTCATAAAATATTATGTTACATTTCTAATTGAGTTATTGGAATCATAACGTGTTTCCAACTTAATATTTTCTTTGTAACTCGAGCATTAAATAGAATATCGATGAGATTTGTTTTTAAGAAAGACATAGTAAATAATATATACTTTCTTTATTAAAGTCCTTCAAGATCTTTGATAGGTGCCACACAAATCACATGTGAGATTAACCTCAAAGTGGAAACAAAAACTATCCAAGAAAGTCGACCCTATTCAATGTACAGTTTATATTACAATTATGTTTATGTTTGAAACAGTTGGCAAAGAAAATGTATTATTTCTCGAATTGTTGTACATCGATTTTAAATTATATGTCTGTGTTATTGCACATATAGATGAATTAATATAACATGATGAATTAATTTATAAATAAATTAATCTCTTACTTTCTATTCAGAACTACGATTAAATATTATTAAGCTATAAAACCTTCCGTTAACGCTTAAGCCGTTATGTTGCGACTATAACTTATTTAACTTGTTATTGGGATCAGAAATACCTTACGTTTAAAGCGCTAATTTATGACTTGCCGAGTCATTTACTTCTATAAATTTGTGGTCTACAACGAGCAGACTGATAAATAGATGGATAGGTTTGACTTACATTATAAACAAGACAGGGTGCATCACTTCGCATAAACTAGTGACCGAAATCGAGTAAATTTTACAAACCAAAGTTAACTGCTAACCAATGTTAATACAAATGACGATCTTTATAAATTTTAAGCCATCTATGTACTTATATTTCATCCGCCACCTGCAATAGTGCCTAGGCAACCGCTTGTTTTTTGTTTATTGTGCCTATGTATTTAATAGGTACTATTAGTACAGGCTGAGAATGTTCACATCGAAAAAAATATACTGGCTTGTTTTCCTGCAGAATAATTCGGGTAATAGTATTAGTTAAAAAAATCTTTACAAAAAATCGGTTCGTGTCAAGTTAATAAAACAAAAATCGAACAGGGGCGAAATCGAATGGAACAACAATTTGTGGATCACACAAAGTGTTGTCCCATGTGGGATCGAACCCACAACACTCAGCGTAGTATGAAGCGGCGAGGTGACCGCTTGAACCACTACGCCATCCGTGCGGTCTTGAAAGAAATTGACTTCAACAACTCTCATTTACTCGTTTTTTCTCACTACAACCTAGTATTTTTTGTTTATTCATTAAAAATAATTTATTTTCAAAATTTAATACTTTTACCTGAATTATCCCGTTGAAAAACCAGCTAGTTTCTTTTTTATTAAATATTAAGGTATTAGGGGTTAAAGTATGAAAATGCCGATTTGTACAAAAAAATTGAAACTCGTTTTTTCTAAGATATAAGATATTTATTGAATATTTACCTTCATTATCTATACATTGCTGCCATCTAAAAAGAAGTTCATTCACGCCTTTATAATAGAACGCTGGGGATCTAGATCTGACAAACTGTGTAAAAGCATTTTGTACTGCCTCCTATGAAGAAAATTTTTGACGAGTACGGAGGATGACGTATAGTTTCTAACTGCAGCTCAACTTAACTGAAAGACAGTACAACATAATATTTATTTTTTTAAATTTTAAATGTTAAAAATTTGAATAAAATATGGTATCATCTAGACACTTGAAAGAATAAATAACCGTTGATTTTTTTAAGTTAACAAAAAATTTAAAAAACTTTATATTTCTTAACTTAAAAATCATTATAAACAAAATAATAAAGTTCAGACGTCATTCCAACTCGAATGAGCAGTCGCTCATATTTTTAGGAGCTTTATCAAAAATTGACACGTTTTTGAACTTGTTGACTAGCCCAATGACTCGAATTTTTGAAGTATCCATCTTTCACGTCTAAGCTCAATAAAATAAAACAATTGAAAGTCGAAATCAAATGTTGCACATATTTTAAAAGAAGAACCTTTCACACGAAAATCTCACACCATGAAGGTTTTATGTCAATTCAAAGTATTTATACAACGGCAACTTCATACTTTAATCTCTATTATTTGGGAGTCGCACGTCCTGGACTAAATAGGCAAAAGAAAAACAACAACTGAGTTCACTTAAGACTACAGCTGATTTTCTTTTATTTCAAAATCCGAACTCTAAATTTAAATGCACTTTAGTCTTATTTTACTCAAGAGCCGCTATATGTACCTTACTAAGTCGTTGGCAATCAAGATAATCTATTTTTTTAAATCACTAAATTAACTGTGAAATCATCGATGTCCTTTAAAACGAATAAGTAATAATTTTTGATAAAAAAATTAATTAATATTTTTTTAAATTAAGATTTTTACAATTTTTTTAAGCCCGTATTGAATTTTCTTCAGCGCGTAGTTTATTTTTCTTAAATCTAAAATCAAAGCATAACGATAGACATGAATGAAACAAAACTGTTGTCACTGTCTTGTCACGTATGTCACGGTTCTGTCGTTCGTCGATAATGACCACTTCGACACCTACGTTAGCAGTGTAGTGTAGTGTAGTGGAGGGGCGACCAACGCTTCAAAGTGGTTATATGGTGTTTTAAATTATAATATTAAAATAATCGAATAAGTCAACGATATGGACTTAAACCTCTCTATTTCCTGTACTGAAAAGATACCTGCATCACTTCAAGTGTAAAACTGACTTAAGCAGGTAGTTAGCCTGTTGGAGATATATACATAATTACTGCTATGACTCGTACATTATTCCTTTTTCTGTGACACGTACAACCCAGCCACATAATCTGAATGACAAGAGGTGCAATGTCAAATCATATCGTCACATTGTTTCGAGAGAACAACCGTTCACTATGTTCTGATTTTGAATTTATAATTCATTCCTTACAATTCTTATAAATACTTGAAAGGTATAAAAAAAACACTAACAGAAAACACCATCAAGAAAGACCTAATTCTATCAAAAGATTCTTACAATAATAATTATACATATTAATTGCTTGCTAAGAAATTTGCGATATGTAGAAACGATTGCTTCATTTGAAAGAAAACGGCAGGCTTTTCCACAAACACGTCACATTCTCACCCTTACAGCATTGCGAAGGGGAGCCGGATAATAAAAAGCTTTAGCACGTGACGTCCTTAAAACAAAGAAAATATCACGGATTTTTCAAGTTTTAAACCCGCTCGACGAAGCGTTACATTACACGCTATTTGGGACACTGCATTAAAATAACTATTCAGACTTCTGTTGAAAATATTATTTTAGCCGGTATTTCTATGAGGTAGGGTAGGAGGAGTTGTTAGGTATTTCTGTATGCAAATTTGTTTACTAATGGAGAATTCTTAATTCTGGAACAAGAATAAAAGCTCTTTGTTCAATATTTTATAACATTCCTAATTGATTAACAGTAATTTATATTTGTTGACTCGAATATTGAGAATGAATGAGTATGGTGAGCACAGCAAAACCTTAACTTTAAATGTCGTTTTATTTTACTGTAATATTAATTTTGCAATATTATGAAAATTTCATTCTGTTGTGATAATTTCTTGGGCATTGAATTGACCTTATATACATTCTGACTCAATTACCATTAATTAATTATCATTAATTATTTTTAATTAATTATTACTCAATTATTTTACATTTGTCTTAAAAGGTATTAAGATTTTAACCAAAAAGTTCTACTAGTTCATGTACTTGTGTAGTAACCAAGTGTAGTTTTGAGTTCACTTCATTTTAATTAATATCATTAATTCTTTCAGTATTGTCTGAAAAGCTTTAAACCGCTACCTAATCATTACAAACTCAATAACGTATTTCTGTCAAAGAGTGCTATTATCTGATTTGGTTAACAATACATTTACTTGACAATGGTAATCAATATTTTTATTCAACGTTATTGTTCGGCACCGTGTCCATAGATTTTAATTTTTCCCTTGGACAGGGCCGCACAAAAAGAGAAATTTCGATAATTGATATCGCATTTTCCGATCGTACCCTATATTTTCGATTGTGGGCAGCCAGTGTGGGTGGGCGGAGACCTCGTTACGGGGGTAATAACTGCCAAAGAACTAAATCCTTAGATATGAGCCAGCCGTGCCTGCTCCGTCCCTACCTTCGTCTTTATCACTCTGACCTTTCTATAACTTTTGTTTTATATACATATTCATGTAATATACATAAATATCAAAGGATATCTAGGTCTTTTTTACGGTTATTGGGTAGTGCGTAGATAGCGAAAAGTATCCCATAAGAACTTAATCATACTTTTGACTATATGATGTGACTATTCACGGTAAAATTTGATTTTACTTAGATATAGGTGATAACAATCGGTTAGTTAGAGTAATAAAAATAAAACTAATTCACCTGTATACTGTTTTGGCTTGTAAAGTTTCAATTGCACAGCTCTTAAACTTTAGATTTTATTAATATTTAAAAAAACTCGATTTCGTCACTGACTCACTAAAGATCATCAAAATTCTTATGGTACTTCCTGAAGTCCTAGAA